CGTGATTTTGCATAGAGCGGCCGCCCTGTAACAGTATATCTGCTATAGGGCGGTCTTAAAGTGGTTAATGTGCCCTCACAGAAATAATCCAGGAGACATTGCCGGTCCAAAGTTCCTGCAAAGAGATAGAGGAGGCGGCAGAACACACAGGTACATTTATTCCTTTAAGAATGAGGCAGCACAGGCAACACTCAGACACGTAGGCAACATGGCACCACACTAGGCATGCCTGGAGAACCTAAATGGCAACAAATTTTCAGTTGGAACCTCTGGCCATCCTGGTTCCTGCCACAACCATTGGAAGGGTGAAACCGGTTCCAATGTACCCAAGAGGGATATCTGGACATGGGCACCATGGGCTGAATGTTTAAAGGGCTTCCGCCATTGTATTAACTTGTCAGTTGCAGAATAAACAGGAAAGTATTCCCTTCCTGGCTTTGCCCACCACAATGGGCATAACACTTCAGGAGTCTTTAGGGACAGGGCTCTGCCCCAGGCAGACCATGGTCCTGGACCTGTAAAGCACAGTGGCTGCTAACTCTATTGCAAAGCAAAGGCAGGTCATGCGTCTTCCACTGGGGAGACCAGGTAGAGCCCTTAAAGCTCTGTTGAGAAGTCCATCAATCCAAAAGCTGCATGAGAAGCTGCAGTGGCAATGATGCAACCTACTACTACTGTACAACTAGGAAACACACTTTTATTGAGAATGCTAGACCTACAGCAGGTCTAATAACAGTCAACAAATATTGTTTTAATATCAACATTCTAGTGAGAGATTTCTACTTATTGTTATAAAGCAGATTATAGTTGACACAATACATTTCAAAGTTATTATGAAATGCATTTGCCCGAAATATCCTGATAGTGAGCCCAGGAGTGCAATCTGAAGTGCTTATTCTGTGCTGTATTGAAATAATGTTACCTTCGTTCTACTGTACTTTTCATTTTGCTTATCTTGGCTTCATGTCTTTCAATATCCACGCCAAAAAAGACAAGAAAGAAATAGCCATGATCTGATCTGATCTCACTGGAATGCATAAAATTTAAAGGAACAATGCGCACAAATATTATTTATTGTTCCTATTAATATTGTTCCTATTTGTCATAAAAAAAGAAAATCATTGTACTTATGGTTTCTGCTTTCTAAATATATAGAGAAGTTTGAAAGCAGAACATACTAACCTAGTAGATGGCACTTACAGGATCTGATTCATAAACAAAGGAAACATGATTACGTAACCCTTAGTAATCAGTCTACTTCTGCTGCAGCTGAATCCATGGATCCTTTTGTTTTTCAAAACGCACTATTCATTCCAAGGGAAACACTGGTGAAGTTTTATGGTTTTACTGGAAAAAGCCAAACCATATGTCCTTGTCTTGGAAACATTTATATGTATACTGTTTTGGCAACTTTACTGTGCATTCCTACTGTATAACATTTAATGTGAACGGTTTGACATGAACACATTCACTGGTGTGAAACATTGTACCACACAGAAATTTGCTTGCATTTTGGTTCAGTTGGTGCTCAGGATCACATTACATCAGCATATTCTAATATGGGCAGTTGAGGCAGTCCCTTGGGCTGGCCTTCCAGTGTACAGTAACCACAGCAGTATTCATGATCAGCCCTCACAATGCTCCCACCCTTCCCCCTCACACAAGTCACTTTGCTGTGTTAATCATTGGTGTTGCAAGTGATAAACTTCCCAGGCAGTTGCTATCGCCACACCTTACTGCATGGTCTTTTTACAGAAATGCATTCACAGTGGTGGAAAATTGGAAAGTGAATATTAGCCCTGCCTTCTGTGACGACTGTCAACCAAACATCAATATAACAACTGGGGCAAAGAATATTCCAATGAACACCAGACAGTGTTGTCATTCAGCAATTAGGACCAGTAAACATTAACAGCCCATCTTATGAGACAGGAGGTCAAATAGGGTTACCAAAGCTGGCCATAGATGGATTGAAATTCGGCTGGTTTAGCAGAAACCAGCTAAATTTCAATCCATCTATGGCTGGTCCTGTTTGAGAGCAGTCGATCAATAGAATGGTTTTTCCTGGAAAACTTTAGTTCGGTCATCACTGCAGCCAAAAAAATACAAATTGAGAAAAGCTGTACTAAACTAAACTATTGGACACAAACCTTTGAATTATATTTTTCATGCATTCATACAGACTTGTAGGGAGGAATAAAAGCAATACACAAACTTAAGCTTGCCATACATGGCTCAGTTTCTGTTCTCTCAGCCAGTGGGCTAAGCAAAAGAAAAAACTGATCCGATTCCACCATCCACACAATCGAGGTGGATGAAGGGAATCCTCCAACTCAAGGACATATGGTTTTGGCTGTTACCAACAAAACCATACTTTCAATTTGAGGATATGAGGACATGGTAGGGCTCGCAGTTTTTTTTTCAGAACAGCAATAGGTAAGATTCTCCCATTCACCACAATTGTGTGGATGGAGGAATTGGGTCAGTTTTTTTTGCTCAGCCCACTGGCTGAGTGAACAAAAAACTGAGCCATGTATGGCCAGATTAAGTTTGTGCATTACTTTTATTCCACCTAACAAGTCTGCATGAATGCATGACAAACATAACTCAAAGGTTTGTGTCCCCGAGTTAGGTATAGCTTTTCTCAAGTTGTATTTTTTTCTGTCCTTTCTCCTACCTTTCCTTCAAATTTTATATATATTTTCTGCTGAACTTACATTCCTGGGCTTTCCTTGCATTATGCAAAATCAGGTCACATTTTGTATATATTAGTTGCCAATATGCTTTCTTTTATACATGAACTCATGACAAATAGTATTGGTGCTTGTTGTATAATCTTTTAAAATGTGTTTTGATGGCAAATATGGCAACCCTGGGGGGCATTCTTTAAACACTGTACAGAAGGCCCCAGAAATCTAATTTGCTACATGTGACTGGCTCGCTGATTTTCTCCAAAGTCTTTATTACTTTGGTGATAATGAATGTTCATGCACTAAAGAGGGCAGTTGGTGATGCAAGCACATTTCGAACAACCTCAGAGAAAAAACAGACACTCTCTTACACTTTTAACTCTAACTTTAACACTTCCATTGAGAAGGGAGGGACCAAGTTTACAGAGCTGTGGGATGGCAACTTTGGCTTTTCTTCAGGAGATTAACACTGATTGGAAAAGATTTTCCAAAACTTATTGATTACATATCCCACAGAATGGTTAGCTAGGGTTTTCTGAAGGTGTCAAAGATGCCTGCTCAATTCAGATACTTTTCGATAGATTGAAAGTCACTCCTCCCATGTCTATAGGTACCCCAAAACTCCTGTCTTTTTAATAGGACTGATGTTTGTTGTTTCATTACCGAGACTGCTTAGATCGTTATAATGAAGAGAGACCCAGTTAGCTTTCATTTTGAAGATAAGAGGACAGGGTAGGGCTTGCAGCAGTGTTCTACAGAACAGCAACAAATAAGCATCCGCAATGTTTGCTAAAATCCTTGCAATGTATAGGGGATAGTTTTCTTTCTAAAAAAAAAACGTACCCGTCACAAGCCTAAATCAGGTGCAGTACACATAGTAAGAATAAACATATTTAGTCTGCACTTACTACCCTTTGTTCTTTTGTGATGACAATCTTTTTTAAAGTCCTTTAATGTTGTATACATATGAAAAAAGATTATCTAAAAACTGAACTGTAGGTGTAAGAAAAAAAGCACTGTCATGCCGTTAACTCCCCTGTTATTTGTGAAATCTTGCTCTTTGTAATTAAAAATTCTTGGTCTACACAATTAAAAAATGGCATCAAGCCCCTTAGAAGTTATGAAAAACCTGGTCTCCTGTAATTCGGCGTGTGGCTGCCTCAGTGTGTCTCTAAGTGCTAGTCCAAGGGAGGGCTCACTGCAAAGGTCCACGGCCCTGGCATGTGAAGTTGCTGTATTTGAGGAGGTTACTCTTTCCAGGCTTGCTTAAACTCTGCCTAGGCCAAGCAGCCAAGTGGGGGAGGATGGTGTTACTGTGTTTCTCATTTGTTCCTAACCTCCCAGTGGGGGCTGGTAGGTGTAACTAACACTGCATTGAGGTGTTGGCAAAGCACTAATCAGCACACTACCACAATTAGCAAACTTTGACCTAAAAAACTAGCCTATTGCTTATGTATGTGACTTTCCTTTCTGTGCACCCTCTCCAGCATCACATACTCACCTTTCCTTTGCTCCCCCTATGGTCTCATTTGACTTCTGTAAGTGGAGCTTACAGAGGGCTGAGAACTATGTTCCTTCCCCATGTGACAAAGCTGGGCCAATTAAATTATCAAGCACCAGTGCTGACACTTTAGAAACAGGAGGAGTGACTCACATGTTTTACCAAACCTGAAGGTTGTTTCCTTTACTCCCAGCATTTGAATAAAGCACCGAGGAGCAAAGGAAAGTTGAGTATATAATGCTGAGGAGGAAGGCGTTAAAACACACCTGTTGTTTTACCCTAAATGGGCAGAGCACAAGTTTGGTTTAAAGTGTTTAGCCTAAAAACAAAAAATGTAATACATTTCAGCTTACTGGCCCTTAGTTATAGTGACTGCATTAGTTTTCTTTTTTTCAGGCTTTTTTCACTTTATTTTCACATGAAGATACTGCCTGCAACACGCTTCCTGCCCCTAGAGAGACAATGTTACTCACTGTACTGTATCTATTGAGGAACTGGGTTTTCACCTTGCTCTCCTGATTTGGATCAAAAACACATTGTCTTCCGCTTTTTTTTTTTCCATTACATGTAAGGGGATTTTGAACTTCACAGAAGATGGCTGAGAAAGCTGATACTTTAGTATACAGGAAGTTACAAGGATTCAAGATTTCTGTAATTGTGTAAAATGTACCAATGCATCCACTACATCAAAGAACTAGTAAGCTGCAATATATTGCATTATTGTTTAGATATACTGGAGGTCTGAGAGGTACAAAGCTGCAACAGTCACTGCTGATCAGGAGAGGAATAGCCCAAGCTTGATGTATGCTTCACTGCGCAGTTACAAGAGTTGAAGGATCCCCATGTTCCATGTTCCAGAGTCGGTAGAATTCTGTGAAATCCACATAAGGCTCCACACGACCATCTTCATCTGGCTGAAGAGAGGTAGATGGGCGAGAGCGGAAGAGGCCACCATCTGAGCTGGAACTGCTGCTCTGAGTATGCGTGTTGGTGGACTGAAGCGTAGCACTTGGCGATTGCCTTGATAAAAAATGGTAACAGATGGTAAAAATGTTAGATGGAGAAAACATAAAAGACAGAATAGCATCATAAAATGTGAACAAAATGAGTAACAAAGTCAAGAACATGCAGAATTTTATTTTACTACCATAAAGAGATACCATCATTCCTGTATAGAAAATAAAATTTATGCCTGCTAAACCAAATCAGCACCATTTTACCTACATCTCTTTTTAATATTCACTCTAAACAAGACTTAAAGCTGAACTCTGAGTAAAAAGATAAATCTACAGTTAAAATACATGCATATGAACTGATCTACTCTACCTGTCATCATGCCCAGGTCCTAGACCACTACAGTAGTGGTAAAAAGTTTGGTCAAGCAACACATCCCCTATCTGCTGAATAGATAATTTGGATTTAGCAGAAAATGTATACATTATATAGGGCGCGCTTGCTGGAGCCCAACCTCTGTAGCTGTAAGATAAAGGTGCCGGATGGATATCAGGGATGGATGGATGGGAGCAGTAACATTGAGGCAGCTCTTCTTGGAGTGGAAGCAAGGCTCTAATGCAGTAATAAGAAAAAGAGAGGAAGGCGCCTCTAAGTGCAGTATTGACAATTTATTAAGTTAAACAATGGAAAATTTGCACTTACAAGATAAACGGTTAAAAAGACTCATCGTGTGGTAATTAGATCCAGGTGGAACATCCAGCCGTCCAGCAGCAAACTATGCCTATAGGATCAGGAAGTAGAGTCCAGGATGTGCCTGTGCATCAAAAATGATGCTTGGAGAGCAGAGTCAGATGTGGCAGGTGAAGGGGGCGGTAATGCATTTTCGGAGCATGCTCAATAGGCTCCTTCTTCAGACCTCTACCTTATTGAGGTTTGAAGAAGGAGCCTATTGAGCATGCTCCGAAATGACTCTGCTCTCCAAGCATAATTTGTAATGCACAGGCACATCCTGGACTCTACGTCCTGATCCTATAGGCATAGTTTGCTGCTGGACGGCTGGATGTCCCACCTGGATCTAATCACCACACGATGAGTCTTTTTAACCGTTTATCTTGTAAGTGCAAATTTTCCATTGTTTACTTAATAAATTGTCAATACTGCACTTAGAGGCGCCTTCCTCTCTTTTTCTAATTTGGATTTAGCACACTGCTCTCTCCTGTCAGCATGTGGACTGAGCAGAGCCTGACTGGCCCTTCTTCTCTGAAAGGGGATTACAGAAGGCTGATTTTATAGCTGAATTTTGGGCAAATAGTGTTACCTGTAAACATTGGTGCTTACATACCTTAATATAAAATGCTTGTTTTTTTTTCTTTCCCCACTGTGCCCTTATTTGAGAAATCCAGGGTGTATTTTTAAAATCAGGGCTTCATTCCTTGTAATATTCGTGTAGCAAGACCGATGGCTAATATGCAGTGTATCCCCTGGCCACCAGTCTTGTCCCTGCTCTGCTTTAGTACTTTAAAGCGATCAGTGATGTAATTGCATCCCTGTTAGCTGTACTGGAAGGACTCAGGAGTCTGAGACTTCTGGTCTGAACCACCCACAGTGCGCATCAGGATAGTGGTTGGCTATGTGGGTGTGCCTGAGATAGAGTCCTCAGGACCAACTCCACTCTTCCTCCCCTCCTCCACAGATTCGCTGCACATGCTGCCTCTCATTTCCTGCATTTTGCTTTGCATCATGGGAAATGTAGCCCTGTTTTCCAGCTCGGATGTTTAGTGCAGCAAGAAAGTCCTCCTCCTGGTGCTAGAAAGGAGCACTCTTTCCAAGGATCTCAGGATGTCACTGGGACTGAAAATAGATTACAAAAAAAGGCAACATGATTTAAACTGTGTTAGCAATTTAACACCGCTTGGGGAGAGTGATCTGCATTTGCAAAGTTAGCTAGATCCTGCAGTTCATCTTTAAGATAACTTTAGGTACTTACACAAGAGTTAAAGTGGGGCAGTACAACAGCTAAATGGTTAGCACTTCTGCCTGGCAGTACTAAGGTTGCTGGTTCGAATCACAAGAATGGCACCACCTGCCTGGAGTTTGCATGTTTTCCCTGTGCCTGCGTGGGTTAACTTCAGGTACTCCGGTTTCCTCCCACACTCCAAAGACATGTTGGCAGGTTAATTGGCCCTAGTATGTGTATGTATGAATGTGAGTTAAGGACCTTAGACTGTACGCCCCTAATCTATTGGGACTGATCTGAATGTACAATATATATGTAAAGCGTTGCGTAAATTGATGGCGCTATATAAGTACCTGTAATAAATAAAATAAACATCTGAAATGAAAAATGAACAACGTATATCCCCCTATTGTGTGTGTTTGCCCCAATCCAAAGCACCTAGGTGTGGCTCCTATTTGATCTCTCCTCTGCTATCTGCACAAGTCACTTCTGACAGGTTATCTCAACAGCACAGAATGTAGGAGATGATCCCCCACTCTAGCACATGGAAAGTGATTGGCAGCCTCAAATGTTTGTGTTTCCCTATGAGACTGTATAGAGGGAGGTATGTCCATTCCATCCACTCATATCTCAGATTACACTCATCTCTGTGGTGTGCAGTATATGACACCAGAACCCTGCCCCTGGAGCTGAGAAAAAGCCTTTAATCCGTGTGTTTTAGAAGGCTGAAGAGAAGAGCTAAAGGTGAACAGGTACAACTTATGTGGAAGGGTTGGTTTCATCTCTGTGTATCACATGTGGCTAGTCACTTTAGTGGGTATAAGCAGGGGTTTATAACCACTATTTTGTAATGTATATACAACTACTACTGTTTTTTTTTTTTATTTCTGCTAATTCAGCTTTAAACTATCTTGGAACTCCTCCACACCTACAATACTATGATCTGTACATGCTGAGTCACAACCATGAAGAAAAAGAAGTAAAGCAACTTTATTCTCAAGTTACCAAATGCTTATTACACACAATGGCAAAATTATTAGTGTTTATTTTTAAACACAAAGTATTTCTAAAAGGATAGATCTGTGTTTGGGTGCAGTTTACTGCCAGGTCTGATAAATCAAGCTTGCCTATTACAGTTGGCAACTGTGGGGAAAGGTATAGTCGATACACCTAGCAGTCGAGCAACCCCTTTCCTACACTGCCCAGAGTGGAAAAATCTGTTCTGGATGGAGGTGCTCATTTTAAAAATAAATGTATATATCCCTGTACAGCCACTGGATTGCTTTCATCTGAAAGTAGATGTTGCCTTGTGACATTTACACATTTCAAAAACACACCACTGCTGACAACATGAAATACGTCAGTGGCAGCAAATGAGTTAAACATGATATAAGTATAAAAAAAAAAAATACCTGTTGATGTGCCAGAAGTATAGTATGCTCATACCTCCCTCCTTGACACAACACAGCTTTGTCTCCATAACCCTTTTGTGCATGGGCAGAGAGCATGAAGTTATCAGCTCACAGGACTTCTGGCTAAATCAACAGGTCATTTTTGCACTTTTCAAAATATAATAAATATGGTATATGTAGCAGACCAAAAGGAAGCAAATGGACCTCAATTAGGTATTTCAATCACTTTCTAGATTATTAGAGCTGACTTTGAGCTTATTAAAGAGAATATATTTCTTACAGAAAGCTATTGTATTTCAAAGTGGTTCTAAAGGTTCTGTGTCTATGGATGCAGACAGGGTGGCTGGGGATAGAGCCCACATGGGTGCCCCCATGAAAAGCGGTTTTCTATGGGGGAACCCACTGAAGAGGGGCCAGGAGCACCGGCGTGGGACCCAGGAAGAGGACCGGGGCTGCTCTGTGCAAAATCATTGCACAGAGCAGGTTAGTATAAAATGTTTGTCATTTTAATTTTAAAAACAAAAAAAACAAAAAACAAAGCTTTAATATCACTTTAAGGTTGTGCCATAATACCACATTTTACCAGCAGGTTGTATTTCAGCTAAAATCTTTAAATGAAATTGCAATTGCCAGTCCTGGAAAAACCCAGGAGCTTTAAGGGGGATGGACACAACCATTTTACTCCACTGAAGGTTGAGGATTTTCTTGAAAATAATATTTATATGTAGCTAACTGGATATCAGAATGTGAATAAAAAAAAAATGACTAAATGGTATATAGAATAATTCTTGGATGGAACATTATTACATAGCTTGGACCAATGTAACTATGTATTTATCATAACTGTCCGGTGACCCTGGAAGCTGGAAATCAATGAAGTAGAAGCCACTACTTTAGTGATCTCCACTTACTTCCGGGTGCTGTGCTGAGCAGCCAACCTTCACCACTTTCTCCAATCAGAGATTGCTTTGCATTCATTCAGAAGATGCAAACCATTCTCTGAATGGTACAGCACTACCTGCACTAAAGCCACAAAAACATAATATTCTATAAAGTATGTACCACTCATATAAGAGTTCAATGTGCAAAACCGCAACCTCAAACCTACATTCAATAATCTCCGATGATGTCCATATAAAGTGCATAAAATCAGTCTACAAATTATATATCACACCCCATATTGTAATAAAAGTGCAATATGTTCAAAAAGGTGCAATAAATCAACATCCCCTAATACTCATATAAAGTGCAGGAAATACCTCACTGATATCCTTATAAAAAGCATAAAATCAATCTGAAAAAAATATATGTAACATCCCCCTGCAAAAAAAAAAAAAGTGCAATATGCTAGGAAAGAGCAACGAATATACAATAATGTGCACATAAAGTGCAACAATTGATGTGCAAATCACTATATACAAACTTATTTCATATATAATTCCTATAAGCTGTAGTGTCCATAAAATGTATAACACAGTCCACCAGTGCAAAGTAAACTTCTAAATCTTTTTGCAACGCCCCTACACTAATGCTCTTCCATCACCGAATGAATTGAATAAACTCACCAGAGCGATATGCTGGTCAAATCATAGACCAGCAAAAACAAATGTTGCTCTGGGAGTAAAGCTCTGCAGTCTCGTGATCTTATTGCCTCGGGCTTCTTGGAACAGCACTCTCGTAACTTTAGCTCGCACAAAAGGAAAAAGAAGAGGGGGGCTTTCATAGCTTAAAACCATCAGACTCATTTATTAAAAAAAACTTAATAAATTAACACTCATAAGTTTTACCACTGACACAACTGTAAAAGCATAAGCATGTGACAGGTGGTCTCCGGCCCTGAACCCAAACCGCAAGATCAACGTCCGCTGTGCGTGGTGATGTCACCTCCAAGCCCCACCCTACACATTTCGTCACTTGACGTCCTCTTGGAGCGGAAGGCCTTCTTTTCCTTTTGAGCGCATGAAAGTTACGAGTGATTTGACCAGCATATCACTTGGGTGAGTTTATTCAATTCATTAGGTGGTGGAAGAGCATTAATGTAGGGGTGTTACAAGAAGATTCAGAAGTTTACTTTGCACTGGTGGACTGTTTTATACATTTTATGGACACTACAGTTTATATGAATTATATATGAATTAAGTTTGTATATGCTGATTTGCACATCAATTTTTGCACTTTATGTGAGCATTATTGTATATTCATTGCTTTTACATAGCATATTGCACTTTTTTACAGGGGGATGTTACATATATTTTGCATATTGATATGCTTTTTATAAGGATATCAGTGAGGGGTATTTAAGGATATGAGTACTAAGGGATTTATTGCACCTTTTGGAACATATTGCACGTTTATTACTATAAGGGGGTGTGTTATATATTTGTAGATTGATTTTATGCACTCTATATGGATATCATCGGAAATTATTGAATATAGATTTGAGATTGTGGTTTTGCACATTGCACTTTTATATGAGTGGTGCATACTTTATTGAATATTGTGTTCTTGTGGCTTTAGCGCAGGTAGCGCTGTTCCATATCTATTATTTTGGATTGGTGATGGTACATCATTTAGAATAGCAGCGGTCAGGAGTGACTAGACCGTTTTTTTAGTTTGACGCACTTTTTTTGCCTGTAGCACAGTCTGTATTATATTTATATTCTCTACATGGTGCCTGTGCTGAGCAGTCAACCTGATGTATTGTTCACAATCCATCAGGCCCACCTCTCAGCACAATACCTGGAAGCAGAGAGAGATCACTGAAGTAGCTGTGTCTACTTCAGTGACTTCCAGCTTCTAAGGGCAAGGGGCAGGTATGATATAGGTTTATTATACATATAGTTACATTGGCCCAAGCTGGACCAATACAACTATGTAAAAATGCAATATGCCTGGAATTAATCTTTAATGAATTGCTACACCCTAAACAGTCAGCTACAGCTTAGGGCAACACAAAGACATGGCTAAGGCTGAAACACAACACTAGACAGAGTTACAGAACCCATATAGTTGTTTCCATAGTATTCAACTGCTTTAAGCACACAGACCAGAATAGAACTAGAATTTTTGGTTTTACTTAATGTGGAACACTTTGGATTATCCATTTCTGGCCTAGATCATCAATCAGGCTGAATGCCCACATAACTGACCAAGTTGCTGAACTAACAAACATAAATGGATTAAAATCTCCTAAAAATTCTTAATGATAGTGCCTCAGGTTTCAATAAATTGCCCACTTGGGGCCTGCATTACTTATAACTGGTACATACAAGGTTGGAGTCGCTCCATCCAGTGTTGAGCTGCTGTGAGTTCCGTTCACCATTGTCCCTTGTGATGGCATTACCAGCGACAGAGTAACACTGGTTTTGCTAGTGTTTTGTGCACTGGAATAGGGCACAGACACAGGGTATACTCGACCACCTGAAACAAGCAGGCAATCATGTCAATAGGAAAAATATATACATAACAGATAATATGAAATTTGCTGTACTGGTAAACTCCATATCTTGAAGCATAGTACAAGTCAAAAGAATCAATTCATTGACCATGCTGCTACCTTCTGATGACTGGGTCTGCCTCTCTCCCCCAACACTCCCCCCCGATGGGACATTGTATTCTGACAAAAGAACCAGCTACTGCCAGAATACAATAATCAGCGGCTGTAAATGATTGGCTGCAACTACTAATCCAGAAAAAGTTTCCAACATGTCCCATCGAGCTCTGTTGAGTGGGAACTGCCACACAATGATTGAACAAGCCTAAAGTCGATCAGTGTACAGCCAGCTTTAGTCTCATAAAGGGCAATTGAAAAAGGGGCTCTAAGAAGAATTGTTAGATCTGGCGTTGGTGAAAATGTGGTGCTGAAGGATTGTGTTTAGACATGGCCAACCAGACAATAAAAAGGTTGGGGGTAAAAAACCCAGAAGAATGACTCAGCCACACGGCAGTAGTGTGAGCAGCAGTGACCAGGCTTTTGATGCAAGAATTAGCCCTCATGCACGCAGGACAAAAGAATCTCTCTTGTAGGCGGATCTCCCACCAGACTGACCACTATTTGGCCTCTCACCTAACCCAGATGGCTTGCAGAACACTACTACTACTAAGGAATTTGTCTGCTGGCCACCAGGAGGGAGTGAGGCAAAAACAGAGTAATTAGCCCCCTGTTTCACTCACTCTTCTGTCACCCCTGAGCTATGGCCCTCCTTTAAAAAGACAATAGTTTCCTTAAATCAGGAGTCCTGTGGAATCAAGTCCCTAAGGCACAAAGGGATCATTTAAAGCATAAGAAAGGGTCCAATAGTTTAGCACCACTAACATGGTAGAAAGAAAAAAAAAAAACAATCTCGATAATAGGGACTTGTTTTTTTCTTCTTTTACTACTTGAGGTTTTGGCCATACTTTATGTTAAGACTAGTTGATAAATGTCTAGTTTCTACTGTGGAAATTTACAGACAGTAAATTGTTTTTTCTTTTCCTCCTCTCAGTAAAATGGTGAGACCAACATCTAGAAAAGTGTTTCTCAACCAGGGCTCCATGATAGGTATATCTTGGGGTTCCTGCCATGATCTGCCCAATCACAAGCAGAAGACTGGTAGATCGCATACCCACATAGCTGCAGAGGGAAATAACTTGCATGACTGTCCTGTGTAGATGCCAGCCGGCACTCCCCTCCTGTCTGTTCCAGGTGCTTGTGTGCAACATCACTCTGGATGGATGCGAGAGGAGGGTGGGTGGATATCAGCACACCAGATACGATCCAGCAGCTTTCCTGAGCTATTATGCATGAGGAAAAGCACTACAGACCCCAGTATTGTGCCATCCAGTACTGTTTTCTCCTAGCCCCCTGTACTGGCATATTGTGGCGTAACCCATGGGGACCTCTGCTCTACTGGTCCCTCTAATACTGCTCCCTCCTGGCTCCTCTTGTACTGTTCCCTCTTGGCGCCCCTATGCTGTTCCTTCCTGGCTCCCCTATTCTGTTCTCTCCTAGCCCCTCTGCAGTGTACTATTCTGCCACCCCTATACTATTCCCTCCTATCCTCCCTGTATAATTCTCTCCTGTCCCTCCTGTACTGGTTCCCTCCTGAATCTCCTGTGCTCTGCCCTGCAGACTTCCTGTACACCGCTTATCTCACATTTGACCCAGAATTGAGCATCTGCGCCAAGAAGAAAAAAGCAAGCACAAGTTTTACATTAAGGAGGTAAGTTTTTTTAATATTTATTCTATTGTTTAATGCTCTAAGAATAATTGTTGTTATATCTACAGCTCGCTGATCACATCAATGTTCCATGGGCTGTACATATGAAAATTATTTCAGGTGTTCACCGAGATCTCAGACTTTTTGCCAGCGGTTCCTCAAAGGTAAAAAGGTTAAAAAACCCTGATCTAGAGTTTGGAAACCATTTCACCATGCAAATTCTGCTGAGAGCAAAGCTGCAATCTGCAATGTCACAAAATGGGTTTGCATTCGTAAGAGTACTCCACACTAATTTTTTTTTTTTTTTTATGAAAATTTCCATTTTTTTCCAGAAAAAAATCAGGGGAAAAAATGTTGTTTTCCCATGGCTTCCGGAAATTTTACATGTCTAGGCATAGCTACAGTTGTGTCCAAAATTATTCAACCCCCACTGAAATTGAGTGTTTTGGCCAGTTTGACATTGCTTTTGATCATTCAGTCATCTTGCTTACATTTACATTAAAGAGGCACTTGTAGGTCAGACAAATATAACATAACAGTTATAATGAAATAACCACAAATGTCTTTTCTGTGCTCACAGCATTATCAGTTTTATTCAACCCCCAAGTGACATTCAATCTTAGTACTTAGTACAGCATCCTTTTACAGTTATAACAGCTTTTAAACGTGAAGCATAGCTTGACACAAGTGTCTTGCAGCGATCTACGGGTATCTTCGCCCATTCTTCATGGGCAAAGGCCTCCAGTTCAGTCACATTCTTAGGCTTGCGCACTGCAACTGCTTTCTTTAAGTCCCACCAGAGGTTCTCAATCGGATTTAAGTCTGGTGACTGCGATGGCCACTCCAAAATGTTCCAGCCTTTCCTCTGCAACCATGCTCTAGTGGACTTGGAGGTATGCTTGGGATCATTGTCCTGTTGAAAGGTCCAACGTCTCCCAAGCCTCAGGTGTGTGACGGACTGCATCACGTTTCCATCCAATATCTCCTGGTACTGAAGAGAATTCATGGTACCTTGCACACGCTGAAGCTTCCCTGTACCTGCAGAAGCAAAACAGCCCCAAAGCATGATTGACCCTCCACCATGCTTCACAGTAGGCAAGGTGTTCTTTTCATCATAGGCCTTGTTCTTCCTCCTCCAAACATAGCGTTGATCCATGGGCCCAAACAGTTCTAATTTTGTTTCATCAGTCCACAGAACACTATCCCACAACTTTTGTGGTTTGTCCACATGGCTTTTGGCATACTGCAGTCGACTCTTCTTATTCTTTGGAGACAGCAAGGGGGTACGCCTGGGAGTTCTGGCACGGAGGCCTTCATTACGCAGTGTGCGTCTTATTGTCTGGGCTGAAACTTCTGTACCCACATCTGACAAATCTTTTCTCAGTTCCTCAGCAGTCACACGGGGACTTCTCTCCACTCTACGCTTCAGGTAGCGCACAGCAGTCGAAGTCAGCATCTTCTTTCTGCCACGACCAGGTAGCGTTTCAACAGTGCCCTTTGCCTTGAATTTGCGAATGATGCTTCCTAAGGTGTCTCTTGGTATGTTTAACATCTTTGCAATCTTCTTATAGCCATTGCCCTTCCTGTGAAGAGAAATCACCTCTTCTCTTGTCTTCCTGGACCATTCTCTTGCCTTCACCATGTTTGTAACCACACCAGTAAATGTCTAGAAGGAGCTGAGTATCACAGTCATTTTAAAGCTGCCTAATTGGTGCTTATTATGCTTGATTGCTGCTCGGTGACATCCACAGGTGTTTTCAATACCTGATGGAAAGCACCTGTATGAACCTCTGTTCTTCAGAGTGGTAGTCTTTAAGGGGTTGAATAATTGTGGCAATGAAGAAACCACATAAGAACCATTTACTACTGTATTACATAAACAATTGATGTCATTTTAGTTGCATTTGGGTAGTTACAACGTCCTTGTAGGATTTGATTCTGAATACAATTCCAAATGTACACTATAGTCCCTAAACCCCTTTACAGCATTGGGGGTTGAATAATTTTGGACACAACTGTATATTATACATAAATACATATCTCCAGCTTGGACCAATGTAATTATGTATATATCAAATCTGACTGATGCTCCTGAAAGCTGGAAATCACTATAGTATACACTGCTATTTCAGTGATCTCCATAAGCTTCCAGGTCCCACAGTGAGTGGCTGCCCTGCTGCCTATTGAATACAGGAGGTCAGCCACTCGACAGTTCTTTGACTGGAGGAGGCTGAGAGGCAAGGTGGTGGCAAACAAGTGCAAGTAAGGCCCGGACCTTGGTGTGGACAGACCTTTTCTTTTTAAATTCTACGTCCGTAGGATACAAAGCTTTGCATTTGTTAGAAGGGGGGAAAAACCTCACTGAGCTTGAGTTATTCTCAACAGAAAAAGTAGACTAAGCAATCAGTTCAAGAATGGATGGGGGAGGATTTCAGAACATTTCCTGTTAAATTCTATGTTCTTAGGATAAAAGGCTCAGAATTGCTAGAAGGGAGAAATTACCTCTGCAAGTTTGGCCAACCGTTGTATAATGCCCAACTTGTGTGATCCAGGGTAGGGAAAGGTTTTCTACAAAAGATCTTTTTTGTGCATTTTAGAGCATGTGGCACCTATGTCAGACTAGGTGTATACCTTCAGGAACTAGAATGCACTGCCTCAGTCAATGAGTCTACAGTAAACATCATATGGCGAGAAACCAAAGGAGTAACTTCCTGAAACAGTGGAGATGAAAATCCTTTAGCCATCCCTGAGAAAATGTCTGTATTCCCCTTGCTTTCTGCCACTGTAAGTGTGCAAGGGAATTCTGGTTTTGGCCCATGAACATAATCAGGGGGAGGAGAGGAAGAAGAGTATTAGCAGCTGATGGCCACCGCAGATTCCTGGAGTGACCATTGCCTCTGGAAATGATCAGACTTAGTGGCTGTGAATTCTGCCTTAGGCTGGCCATATATGGATCGAAATTCATCCGTTTCAGCAGAGACCAGATGAATTTAGTTCCAACTTTGGGAACACTGGTTGTACAGAAGTTGATCTATCAATCTACCCAGTGTGTCATGCATTTTCTCTGGGTCTTTTTTAAACCAAAATATTACGGATTAAAGCATATAACAAAATTTACAGTGTTGATTAAAAAGACTTAAAAAGTATATAGGCTGGTGTGTTGCAAATGTGTATAGCAATACAACTTGTCATAAAGATACCCAACAGTCCCTAGTAAAGGGTATGTCAGTGTCCCATAGTGCTTAATTTGTCGTCACTGATCCCCAGACTTGGGCACACCCAACATGTTTTGAGGTATTCTTTTTTTCTTCAGGAGTATATAGGGTTATATATTTAAGAGGTATAACATGAAAAAATAAACCAGCCAAGTTAAAAACAATCAAGGGTATAGGATTACCTTGCCACACTATTGAAAGTAGCCTAATTTCAATAGGGAGGTGGCACAACTGGGTCTGGCAACTAACACTGCTTTACTGCTACTGATCTACCTGTACAACCACTCTGTTGGTTTTTCCCTTTTTAGGTGTCCAATCAACAGAAGGTAGCAGCATATAAGCCATGGTCTTTGAATCGATTCCTGTGCCCCGTACTGTACAAAAAAAAAAAGATATTAAAATCATATTTATCAAAAAATGGTAATCAAAAACTGTCACAAACCCTGAGTCGGTGTCAGAGTAGGCTGGCTGGTTGGCTTCTTCTAAGGGATAGCCCAAGTTACGAACAAGAAGGGTCATGTCCTCATGTCTGGTGCAGAACTTGGCCCGTTCTCCACCACTGAGAAAGGTATCATGATGTATCCTCTTCACTCTCTCCACTACTGCCTGTGCCACATCATCCAGAGACATTTGCTTGGCAAACTCTGTGGCAATCATTGCTGCTATTTCCTTTTGAACAAAAACAAAATGATTAGAAGGCAAACAGTGTATATGACCATTATAAAATCTCAAAACTACTGCTAGGTACTAGCAGGACACCTATTAATGGTACCTGATTAGCTTGCCCAGGCCCGTGTGCAGCTTCCAAAGCCTTGTAAAGACCCTCTGACATCAGCACAAGAAAACCTGTAACTCCGTCCAGAGGCTGGCATCCATGGATTTCCGGCTCTGCTGTGATTGGTTTAGATTTGGCTGCACTAAAGCACAAGAGCACACAGTTACTAAATGCAACTATACATTTCAATCAACTTTAATATCTAGTGAAATATCTCCTGTGCTAGTAACAGAAAAAATGTACTGGCCTGAAAGACAACTGCTCAATGGTAAAAGTTTTTTTTTTTATTTAGAAAAGTGGCATATTACGTGAGGACAAGTGAAAAATTACATGCTTATTGCTGTATTAAAGGAGAAGTATGGGACTGAAAGAGAGAAAAAGACACATACCTACCAACCTGCTGCAGCATCGGTCCGATGCTACAAGCTGTCTCCCGCAGCCTCTAACCCCAAGAACTGAGCAATCATGTGACTGCTGATAGCTCAAATCTGAGGTCTGCTCTGAGCAGAGAGCAGTGATTATCAGTCACCGCTCTCTGCTGTGCCCCTTCAGCACTCACTGGAGTGTTCAGAAGGAGAGAGTGCAGGAGCAACTGGCTCAGGCTCTCAAAAGCTCACTGAGAGCCTGAGCCAGCTGGTAATCAGGAATCTGGGTGGATCCCAACATTATTGTCTGGATACTCTCAGACACTAAAGCAGGTCTGTGACATCAGCAGACAGAAGACTTTAGCCTGCTGTCTGCGCATCACAGGAGTGCAAAAATAGGTGCACTCCTGTGACCCACATGAGAAGTATGGCCAAACAAGTTTTGACCATACTTCTCTTAAGTTCTTATTCTTATGTTCTGTGTGCCTTTTCTAATAAAGTTTATATCTAAGAATTTGGCAGAGTGTAATTACCTCTCAGTCTTAAATCACACCTTGCCAAAATCAAACTAGATCAGCATATGGTTTTACGTACTGAGGCTGAAGGGTAGCCGAGCTGAAGCAGTGATTTTATAATACCTTTGTGAACTGTACAAAGTGTATTTGATGTTTGGAAAGGTTGTGTTAAATTGTCCTGCAAAGGGTTGGTAACCCACAGATTACTAGAAATGATAAGTGAGTTACAAGGCGGGCAAGTTTGATAGATTGGGTGATAGAATAGGTTGCTGTATATTACAATTGTAGGCCAGGTTCAGTTTCTTAACAAGGTAACAGCTGTTAACAAGTGCCTAAAGTTTTATTAGATGTCAATGTTAACTTCTATTTTGAAAACTCTTGCAGTTCCCTATGATGCTTTGCCAAGTAGTGCATGTGCTTGGATGGAAAACAGTGTCCCTGTCAGAGCATGATGAATATTCTCTGTGACATAGCAAAGCAAAATAGGGGTCAGAAGAAGTGTACATAGTGCCATATCTGATAAAAAAAAAAACTACTAACTGGCAGGGTTAACAAGTAGGTGTGTCACCTTAAAGCAGAACTTTACCCATAATACATTTTAAAAAATTATGTTCTTAGCAAGGTAAAAACATTCCACATTACCAATCATGCTACCAAAATTAGTGACTGCAGTAAATTGCCTCCACTATTGCTCTTGTTTCTTCTTGCCAGAGGCAGCCATTTTGCTAAAGCCCAGAGCAGTCACTTCCTTATTGAAAACTCTCCCCCTCTCCTTACTCTCAAAAACTATACAGCACTTTGTGCAATTAAAATGTATGCATTTCCAGCCTTAATTTTATTTTTGGGTGCAGCTAGAGGGAAAGGCTCACAGCAGCTATCAGTGCTCAAGATCACAGCACTGGCCGCTGAGGGAGAAAGGAGACAAAATCAGGGGGATAAGACACTATCTTTGTAAGTTTAACTTTTTTGTCTCCATGCCAACAGAGTTTGTCCTGTCACTTCTCCTGCCTTTCTTTTCTCCCTCCCCAGTCTGTCCATCTTCAGCACAGACTGTCATTCCTGTTGTCTCCCCTCAGCAGCAGGAAATCTTAAGGCGGACAGCAGATCAGCCTCTAGTGAGACTCCCTCTCTGATTTGATTTTTGGCCAAGTGCAGAGAACAGAGAGCAACAGAAGTTGTGCAGAGCAAGATGAGACAGTGCCTGTTAGGAATGGACTTGCCAGTAATGGTGGGACTCACCTGCCTGGTGGGCTGCAGTACCAGGGCTGGCCAGCGGGTGCTCCCAGCAATCAGAGACTCAACCCTGCAGCCAGCCAAACACCTGAAACTGCTTAGGCAGGTGTATTTAAGTGATGGCCAGACCTGCAGTCTTTGCCTTGGTGTGTGTGTTTTTCCTGGGCCCTGTATCTTGTAATCCTGCATTCTTGTTCCTGTGTTCCTGCTAGTACGTTTCCTTGTTGCCAAACTCTGCCTGTTCTGATTATGCTGACCCTCTCCTGCTCTGACCCCGGCTCGTTCCTGATCATCCCTCTGCCTGACCCTCTGTACCATGCTGCCCGCTACCTGCTGAACCTGGCTTGTGACCCCGACCATTCTCCGCTTGCTCCCCCTGTACCTACCTGCCCGATTGTTATTGACCCGGCCTGCCTGACGACACTTGCATTGTATGTACTGTTATCTGTGGGTGGTTGGTTTGGTTTGTTTGCACTGTGTTATGTTTTAGTATTGCACTGCGTTTATGTTTGTATTGTTAGTGTTAATAAATTATATTGTTTATAACATATCTGAAGTCTGCGTTTCCCTGCGTCAGTCACATACCTCTGGTCATACCCGGGAGCCCTGACAGTGCCCTACTTTTATTTTTAATGTTACACCTGCCAAAAGGACCAGCATGAAGTAATCTATTAGAACTTAATTTTCTGACTAAAGTTCCACTTTAATATGCAGAGTTAAGATGATCATGATCAACACCTGCCCTGGCAAACAGACTTCCTTGCTAAAGGTGGCCATAGATGGAGAAAAATAGCAATTTTGATCCATGTGTGGTCAGTGCAGTTGAACAGAAGTCAATCTACCAATCGACTTCTGTTCAACCGCCCTGTCGGATAAAAGCCACTTGGTTAGCAGCTGCAGTGCTACTGTCTATTGTGACAGCGGGTGAGTCCTTGTTGTCAGAATACAATAGTGCAGCAGGGAGGATTCCCCCATCCACCTCAAATGTGTGCATGGTGGAATCAATTCCGCTCTTTTTTCCTCAGACCGTTGGCTGAACGAAAAAAAAAATCAAAGCATGTATGGTCAAGCCTAAAATAGAATTTAAGGATAGGCAAAAAAAAATTACACCCATTAGTACACCACCCTACACAAAACACTAAACAGTTAATACATTTGTGAAATTCCTTACCATTAATGTGAAAAATCTAATTGAATTTTCAGGAAGCCATCTCTGTAATTAAAAAAAATAACAGCATACGCTCTGCCAAGGAGGAAGTGTAATAGCAGGGATAACATCCTATCAGCTCCTCTCAGGAAACTACACTTCCCATCAACCTTTGGGAATTGTAGTGAATGTGGGTGGGTACACTAGGCTTGTACATGTTGAATGTGTACTCACCCACTTCAACAGAAAAACATTGCCCAGCTGCCACTGCTATCCTCATATGTGATCACTTACCCTCCATCCACAACAGAATAGGAACTAATTGCCCTGACATTCTGATTTTAATCCCAGAATAAATATGGCCACATGCCCATAATTAGATTGTTTAACCACTGTTGTCTGCTGTAATCAAATATTAGAATTCTTTTCCTATTTTTCTAACAGCCGCCGCTACTTGTATGCTTCCATGCGATGACATTCCCGACCACAACAAAACAAAGCACCAGGACATAAAGCTCCATTCACACTAGGGCATTTCAAATTGCGGGCGAAATCACATTTTGCTGCAATTTTACCCAGTTTTGCGGTGATTTTACGTTTAGAGTGCATTTTTCATAAGACATGTGACTCAAAAAACGCATCAAAACAGTGCCGTACTTTTTGCATTTTTGCATGCACGTTTTTAATGTTTTTTATGCCTTTTTTTTTTTTTGTCAACTTGTTGCAGGGCAGATTAAAAATGTAAAACACATTCAAAACGTAACACGTGTGCGTTTTCAATGCATTTCAGGTCTGGTTCCAAAAAACGCAAAAACCAACACAGTTTTTGCCTCGTTCTTTAAAATTTTTTTGGGCCAACTTGTTGCTGGGCAGATTAAAAACACAGATTAAGACTCTGTTCCCACTAGGGCATTTGAAATCAAGGGCAGAATTGTCACAATTCTGCCTGCGATTTGAAAATGTGCTGTGAAAATGTGAAATATGAATATATGAATGCGATCACGTGTTCAGGTGCCATTCATTTCAATAGTACCTGAAAATACGGGGTGTTTAGCCAAGATTGCAGCACATTTTTCCACGCAACAAACGCTCCGTAATCGCACAAACAAAATCACGGGACGTGCGATGCTGAAAAACAGTCGGAATCTTTTTTGGGTGTCAGGCATCCTGTGATTTTGTTTGCATGCAAATACACAAAATGCACTGCAAAAAGCACAGAAAAACGGACAAAACAAAAACGGCACTGGTGTGAACCAGGCCTGAAATGCATGGAAACGCTACAAAAATGCTTCAAAAACAAACATACACGTGTTACATTTTTTATGCGTTTTGCATTTTTAATCCTCCCAGCAACCAGCTGGCCAAAAAAAAATTAAAAAACCGCAAAAAAGGTTACTGTCCCATGGAGTACTGCCTGGGATGAAATTTCTTTATCTCACAGCACACAAAATACGCCTTCAGCATGTGACGGTACTCAAGAGGTGGATTTCCTAGCTTTCAAAAGTGAATGGGAGAGCCCATGGAGAGTCCACTAGGAATCTAATGAGGCCCAGGTATCATGTTTGGCTGGGCTAATTTGCTGTGGCATTGGATGACTGGATGGCCCTGTAGATGAGGGGTCCAGCAGACAAACAGATGGCTCCAGTATGTTGATTGGGAGAGGTGTTTCTTCCAAGGACCAAGTGCCCTGGACTGACAGTAAATCCAGTACTCTTCCCCAGTCTGTCAGGCTGGTATCCATCATGAGGATCTTCCAGGCTGATGGAGGGAAGGACTTTCCTAAATCCAGTGCTGAAGTCATGAGCTGCCAGGCCTGAAACAGTCTGGCTGTAGTTAACAGGAGTATAGACAGTCCCAACAGTGCAGCTCAACATTCTGGTGG